CTACCACTTGAGCTACACTTACTAGCACTTTTGTTTGTTTTTATTTTATTTTGGAGATAAGGTCTCACTAACCGCCTGGGCTAGCCTCAGTTACCATCTTCTTGTCTCCACTTCCCAAGTAGCTGTTGTTTTTGCTTTTTTGTGACAGTGTCTTACTCTGTCTCCCAGACTGGCCTGGGAGTCACATGCTACCCAAGACTAGTCTGAAATTTGGATCGTTCTTCAGCCTCCCAAGTGTTGGCATTGCAGGTGTATACAACCATGTTTGGCTTTCACCTTTGCAGAAAGGGGTTTTCCTCTTCCTGCCCAATTGGAAATTCTGGGAAGCAAAATTGCTGGGAGCAGCCTCATCACTGATGACGAGATGGTGGTAAGCAGCTGGGTTGCTTGGGTGGGGTAATTCTGAGGTTAATTCTACATTCTCTCTCAGCTCCATCGGGAAGTACAGAGCTCCAATCGCCTCAGCACTGACAGCTCCTTAAGCACACCTTTTATTTGCTCCCTTCTCTTCCCAGTTCTATTTTCCCCTCTCTTCTACTGGTGCTTCCTAAGGTTACCTCACAAATAAACTATTGCTCCCAAATTTGTACCTGTTCATGGTATAAGCTCATTAAAAGCATACCAACCCATTTAATCTCAGTTATTTGACTGTTACCAAAAAAAAAACTACTGTGGGCTTTCTATTCTTTCTGTCATGGTTGTTTAGTTTTTATCAGAATTCTTCAGTTATATTAATTCTTTGCTTTGGTTTTATAGTCCCAACTTCTGTGTCCATGCTATGTCAATAAATCCATTTTCTATACAGTGGATAAAAGAAAAGAAATGAGACTTGGTAAATGCTTCTAAAGAAGAGAGAGAGAGAGAGCAATTTAAAGTTATTTTTTTCTGTATTGCCTAAGAATAGAAATTTTTATGAAAAAAGTGAAATGCAACTATGAAATAAATAGATGGGATTTGTATTCATTTAAGGAATACAGGTACTCCCACTAGTTTATCACTTAAGATTCTGCTGTGTAGAAAGCCAGGTACTCAAAGTAGGAACTCTCTCACACAAAGCAGAACATTGTATTATTTATTTATTTACATTTAACTTCTGTAGTTATCATATTATTGTTGTACTGGGTACAATGTGACATTTACAAAAGCTCTTATAATATAGGAGTTGAATTCACCCCTTCCATCATTCTCCTTTATTCCTCCCTCCCCCTTCTTAGAATAGTTTCAGCAGGTCTCATTTTTCCATTTTCATATGTGAGTACTTACTCGTCCCTTCCATTTTTCTCCTTTCTATCTTAGTCCCCTTCTTATGGTGATTTCAATAGGTTTGAAAGTCCTAGACACATTCTTGTGAATATTTTATAAAATTTGAGCTCAGTGCTTCTTTTTCTTGTCCCTTTCTATCCTAACTTAAAACTTCTAAATTCTTTTTGGGTTTCTATCATATTATTATCTTTTCTTTTTAACTTAGACATTCAGATTTTTAATGGTTTTAGTTTTCATACAACAGGGAAGCTTTACATGCTTATTATCCCAAAGTGGACTTTTTTTTCCCTTAAAATTCTGAGTCACATGCTTTGGTAAACCATTCAGGTGCTCTGTAAGAAATGACAAGATGCTTTCTTCTGACAATAAGATAAAGATAAAGATACCAACACTGCATGTACTAGAATGAAAGAACAAATTTAACTATCTCTATATACGTGCATATCATATTATTATCTTATAACTTCTTCTGTCTTCTGGCTATGAAGTGATCCTCTTCCCAGTACAGTTTCTCCCTAGAACACACGTCAAAAATATTCATCAGGTAAGTGATTGTGCCAGCTGTTTTCTGACCTTCAATTACAGCAAGATTTGGAATCTTGAGTATAGAAACTGCAGATATGTTGCTTGCTTGTGGCAGAAATAAAGGTGCTGGTGGTGGGCTGGTTCTTCAGTACTGTCCTGGAAGTAATTTCTGGAAGCACAGCACAAGAGATCACCTCTGGTCCTTCCACCAATTTTGTAAACATCCAATTCTCTGTATTCATCTCCTTGTGTTTAATATAACCAGAGTGTTTTCTGTTACAGTGAGCCAATTATAGTCTTTGCTGTCCAAGGGCTTTACAAGTAACAGAATTCAAGTTAGTAATTAGGAATTTATTATTTGACCTATTTAGACTGAAAAGCAGTAGTAACAGGCTACCATTAGAGAATTATATTACTAATCAATGACAGCTATCATTGAAATATTGAAGACAGGCCATATGATAGTTGTTATATTATAATAAGTTTCACAAGGACTACAGAGTGAGATAGTTGCTACAAAGTCTGCTAGAGAGAAAAAGGACAGAATTGTAGATTTAAATTCTATACTTACAGCACCATACCACAGCTTTTCTATGACTGCACTACAAAAAAAAAACCCCAAACGAAAAACTCTTTATATCCACAGTGTTTATGTAAATAATCTTCAGGTCTAGAATCTGATTTTGTGATGTTCTGAATTTAAACAAAGATTAAATTTATAGTCTCAATGTGTTTCTTGTAGAAGTTAGGGTTTTTTTGGAAGGATTGGGACACTGAAATATGGTATAAGGAAATTTGAAGGTTCCAGATACATCTGAGTGCCACAAACTCTAAGACTTTCATATCAGTAGATGCCACCCCTTTTCATCTGCTTGACAACCGTGTCTGTGTAGCTTGAAGATGCTCTAGTAAGCTCACACGTGCATGCTGGCTGAGTGGCTCAAGCAGTAATCCACAAGCTCATTAACTTGTGAGTAAATGCCAATTCTCATTTCCAGTCCTGTCACCCCTCGTTTTCTTTTCTTATAATTAGAGCTAGGATACTACAGTGGACATAACTAATTGTAAATTCAAATCCCAGTGTGAAAGCATGTGAAAACTTCATTAGATTTAAAAACTTTTATTATTATAAATTTGGAGAGTTTGTGTTGCCATAGATGCTGAGTATGTTTGCTACACTAGGAAAGGGGAAATGGGATTTTTTTTTCTGGTTGATCTTTCTTTTTTTTTTTTAATTTTAATTTTTTTATTATTCATATGTGCATACAATGCTTGGGTCATTTCTCCCTCCTGCCCCCACCCCCTCGGAAATGGGATTTTAAACAAGCCTCAATTCATTCATTTGAAGCTCTTAAAGGATGCTCTGCCCAGTGCTTGAATACGTGAAAGAAGCTTGATCTGTTAACTGAAATTAGACTAAATGGGAGCCTATGCTGAATGAAATCGAAGATTCCAGAAACTACTACATATACCATAGAAGAAATAATTTGTGTTTATAGACTTTTTCTTTACCAAAACACTAAGTGCTACATTGATGAGCTGGGCACCACATTGCTTGAAGAATTCTCTAGAGTTTATTTTCAGTAGACTGAAGAGAGGAAAAAGGTAGGAGATGCTGCCAGTAAAATGATCTTTGATTTCAATAAAATTCTTTTATGTTTGCAGACTACATGGATGTGGTTACCATTAGAGCATAAACTAAGGAATTAGGATGAGTTGAATTTAAGGCACTTTTGAAGATAGTTAACTGACCATATAATCTCTACAACTGAAAAAAAAATGGGCAGTCTACAAGGTTGAGTCACCATGAGTACATTCATTTGTGGTCTCTCCTTTTATTAAAATGCAAGCCAGACCCTTATGCCTCCATTGAAGGAGAATCTATAGCATACACATTTCAAATCTTCTCTCTCTTCTCATAATTTTGTGGTCAGTTACTGAAGTAATATTAAACTGGGTAAAGTGATATACCCAGACCTCCACAGCTTTTTTTTTATTTTTGATTTTTTTCCTTCTGAAGTAACATATTCAGAATCGAGGACTGTTGGGGGGAGGGAGAGTTAAAATATTAAGGTAAATAGAGTTGAACCCCAAATTCAAGTCTCACAGTGAACTCAGTAGATCTGGGGAAGATTTCTGTGATTATTTCCTCAGTTCTTGAGTTGATAATAGGAATAAATATATTAAGCAATGACAGTCACCTCTAAGCAGTGAAAAACTAGAATTTCCCATTATTACCTTTCCCCAAATAAATTTGAGTCAATACCTGATCCCAGAGGGAGTCAGAGAGATCAGTGGCATCTTCATGATTTAAAAAGATGCATGCATGGATGGTGATCATTTTATGTACGAATTCAAATAGACAATTTGGCCTCTACAGAAGACAGGTGGGTGCTGCAGGACAGCAGGTAATAATAAACGTAGTCCGGGTAACCGCTGCTATAGCTGCTGTTCTAGATGAGGTGTTCTTAAGGATGGAAATAATGTGCCTTGATCGGGTGAATTTTTTTCTCTGATTTAATAATCAGTTTTCCTTCACATTATTAGCATAACAGTACACTTTTAGGATTTATAGCAGCTTTCCCATTTGGCCAATTATACTCTGAAGGGAATGTAATCATTTCATGACCCCCATCAAGGATAATGTTTATTGATTATATTGACGATACCATATTGATAGTTCCTTGAGGAAGAGAATGTAGCAAATGTATCGATGAAACACATGTGTAAAAGTCAGTGTGAGTAAACCCTGTTCCCATGCTAGGTATGGTTAACTTTATAATTTGGTTTAAGAGTAGCCAACCTTTTTCTGTAAAGATTCAGATGGTAAGAAATATACTAGGTGTGCAGGACAAGAGGCAAAATCAAAGGTCATTAGATAATCCAAGGATGTAGGATAAAACATTAATAAGAGAGAAAATAAACTTTTATTGATGAAATTTAAAAATATAATTGTGCTGATCACTGGTGGCTCATGCCTGTAATCCTATCTTCTTGGGAGGCTGAGATCAGGAAGATCACAATTTGAGGCCAGCCCAGGCAAAATGTTTGCAGGACCTCCATCTCAACCAATAGCTTGGCAGGGTGGCACACGGCTATCATCTCAGCAAGAGCAGGAAGTCTAAAATGGGATGATCATGGACCTGATCAAAAAGTGAGACCCTATCTCTAAAATGACTAGAGCAGGAAGACGAAGCTTGAAAGATTTGGTAATGGCGACAGGGCACCATAACATGGTGTGGGAAGTGAAGACAAATCAGATGCCTAATGCAGTACAGAAACTCCTGCTGGTAATGGACAAGAGAGCTTCAGGAATGAATGACTCATTGGAGTTGCTGCAATGTAATGAGAATTTGCCATCCTCACCTGGATATAACTCCTGTGACAAGCACATGGAACTTGATGACCTTCCTGAACTTCAGGCTGTTCGGAGTGATCCTACCCAATCTGCCATATACCAGCTAAGTTCAGATGTTTCACATCAAGAATATCCCAAAACTAATGAACCAATAAAGAAATGGGCATGTGAACTAAACAGAACTTTCTCAAAAGAAGAAATTCAAATGGCCAGAAAACACATGAAAAAATGCTCACCATCTCTAGCAATAAAGGAAATGCAAATTAAAACCACACTAAGATTCCACCTCACCCCTGTTAGAATAGCCATCATCAGCAACACCACCAACAACAGGTGTTGGCGAGGATGCGGGGAAAAAGGAACCCTCTTACACTGTTGGTGGGAATGTAGACTAGTACAACCACTCTGGAAAAAAATTTGGAGGCTACTTAAAAAGCTGGACATCGATCTACCATTTGATCCAGCAATACCACTCTTGGGGATATACCCAAAAGACTGTTACTCCAGAGGCACCTGCACATCCATGTTTATTGCGGCACTATTCACAATAGCCAAGTTATGGAAACAGCCAAGATGCCCCAGCACAGACGAATGGATTAAGAAAATGTGGTATCTATACACAATGGAATTTTATGCAGCCATGAAGAAGAACGAAATGTTATCATTCGCTGGTAAATGGATGGAATTGGAGAACATCATTCTGAGTGAGGTTAGCCTGGCTCAAAAGACCAAAAATCGTATGTTCTCCCTCATATGTGGACATTAGATCAAGGGCAAACACAACAAGGGGATTGGACAATGAGCACATGATAAAAGCGAGAGCACACAAGGGAGGGGTGAGGATAGGTAAGACGCCTAAAAAACTAGCTAGCATTTGTTGCCCTTAATGCAGAGAAACTAAAGCAGATACCTTAAAGCAACTGAGGCCAATAGGAAAAGGGGACCAGGAACTAGAGAAAAGGTTAGATTAAAAAGAATTAACCTAGAAGGTAACACCCACGCACAGGAAATCAATGTGAGTCAATGCCCTGTATAGCTATCCTTACCTCAACCAGCAAAACCCTTGTTCCTTCCTATTATTGCTTATACTCTCTCTACAACAAAATTAGAGATAAGGGCAAAATAGTTTCTGCTGGGTATTGAGGGGGGGGAGCGGGAGGGGGTGGAGTGGGTGGTAAGGGAGGGGGTGGGGGCAGGGGGATAAATAAACCAAGCCTTGTATGCACATATGAATAATAAAAGAAAAATGAAAAAAAAAAAAAAAAGAATATCCAAGACCATCTTGGACCCAGAATACCTCAGACATATCGGAAAATACTTATGGTGAAAATGAGGTGGACTGGCTGACAGAGTTAGCAAATATCGCCACCAGTCCACAAAGTCCACTCATGCAGTGCTCATTTTACAACAGATCATCTCCTGTACACATCATAGCTACTAGCAAAAGTTTACATTCCTATGCACGCCCTCCACCAGTGTCATCCTCTTCGAAGAGTGAGACAACCTTCCCTCATCACCACTGGAAGGAGGAAACACCAGTAAGACATGAAAGGGCAAATAGTGAGTCAGAATCTGGCATTTTCTGCATGTCCTCCTTGTCAGATGATGATGATTTGGGATGGTGCAATTCCTGGCCTTCAACCATTTGGCACTGTTTTTTGAAAGGAACTCGACTGTGTTTTCATAAGGGAAACAATAAAGAATGGCAAGATGTTGAAGATTTTGCCAGAGCTGAAGGCTGTGATAATGAAGAAGATCTCCAAATGGGCACTCACAAGGGCTATGGTTCTGATGGTCTAAAGTTGTTATCACATGAAGAAAGTATATCGTTTGGTGAGTCTGTACTGAAGTTAACTTTTGATCCTAGTACAGTAGAAGATGGCTTACTTACCATAGAGTGTAAGCTGGAACATCCTTTCTATGTTAAAAATAAAGGTTGGTCATCATTTTACCCAAGCTTGACTGTGGTGCAGCCTGGCATCCCATGTTGTGAAATTCACGTGGGTGACATATGTCTACCTCCTGGACACCCTGATGCCATTCATTTTGACGATTCAGGTGTTTTTGATACATTTAAAAGCTATGACTTCACACCTATGGATTCTTCTGCAGTTTATGTGTTAAGCAGTATGGCTTGTCAACGTCGTGCATCTTTGTCTTGTGGAGGACCTGGTGGTCAAGACTTTGCAGGATCTGGATTCAGTAAAAACTGTGGCTCACCTGGATCATCACAGCTCTCTTCTAGTTCTTTGTATGCTAAGGCTGTCAAAAACCACAGCTCAGGGACTGTGAGTGCCGCTTCTCCTAATAAGTGCAAAAGACCAATGAATGCCTTCATGCTTTTTGCCAAAAAATACAGAATTGAATATACTCAGATGTATCCAGGGAAAGATAACAGGTAAACATAATTCTGATTATAATTACTGAGTAACACTTCAATACAGGTCACAGTAATTGGGATAATTTAGTAAACTTACTCTTCAATAGCTTTTATTGAATTCTTCCTTTTTTTTTTTTTTAAGGAAGAATTCACTTAGGACCTTACTTGAATTTTTAGGATCATGTGTAATTATTTTATAATACATAGATAATTAGGCTATGTAAATGGTGAAGATCTACCTCATCACTAATAGTAAAAGTCTCTTACCTGTTAAGAGGACACAGTTCTAACATTTGTCATTTCCATATAACATTTCCTTATGTCAGATCTCAAGAGTGTTTAAGTGAGTCTTGGAATGTGCAGGCATTGGTAGTTTTAGCAAGCTGCCAGATTTGTCAAAAGGCTGAACTTAGAAAGCAGAACCCAGGAATCAAAATGAATTCAAGTCCTTCCTCTGTTTCCTCTACCCCTACCTCATCTCAGAATCCTTTGTCACTCAAGCCAATCACATTGTTCATATATTAAAGCTATCTTCCTCCAGTCTTCCTATTTCTCTAAGGATCAGAACTAAGAAAAATCAAGTGATTACATAAAATAATGTTGAATTTAAGTTTTAATGTTTTATGATATTCTAAGTAGTATTTACATTATATATAGAGAAGCTTCTCATTCCGTAAGTATCTGAGAGTTGATGTATATATGTACTTAGACTTCCATTACAAACTGTTACAAATAATACTGCAGTGTATAGCTTTGTTTTAACATCTGGTTATTTCTTTAGAATACAAACTGTAGAAAGACTGAGCAAGTATTAAGGCCTTTCAATACCACTGAAATGTCTGACTCTTGGGTCTTGTCATTTGTGTGACTTTGGCAATTAACTTAACCTCTAATCTTCCATTTCTTTATCAATTAAAAAAAAGACTGGAAAAATAAATAAATAAATAAAATGACTAGAGCAAAAATGGCTGGAGTTGTGGCTCAAGTGATAGACCACCTGCATAAAGCCTTGAGTTCAAACTCAAGTACTGCCAAAACAAAAATAATATTAACTGAGTGTAGTTTTGTAATATACAAGTCAGTAATGGAACGAGTGGAATTTTATTCTTATTTTATTTGTAGAGATAATATTTTGCTTATTTGATATTCATGGTGGTTTCCATCATTAAAATTGGTTGTAACTCTTCATCTGTTTGTGCTATTCTATGATAAGATGTGGTGTACTTCATCTTTGAGAATGTCCTGTAACGTGAAGTTTTATTGCCAAATACCAGTATAAATCTGTGAACATGTGATTCTAATTGAGCATATTCAGTGCTTTGAAGGCACTTATATATTCTTGTTAGATTATTCTCTTGGTATTTGCCATTTAACATGTTGTCTTACTGCATTTCAGTTGAAAGTGAAAGTCCCTCAACTGGACAGGAAAGTGGATTCTGAAATTTCCTTGGTATTTACATTGAGATTCCCAAACACTGCTGAACTGTAGTTTGATCTCGTGATGTATGCTCACTGACACTTTGTATGAGAGTGGAGGTCTCAAATTTTTAAAAAAGAATTTTTTTTTGGTGGCACTGGGGTTTGAACTCAGGGTCTTACCCTTGCTAGGCATGGTGTTCTACCACTTGAGTCATTCTGCCAGCCTTTTTTTGCATTGGGTATTTTTTAAATAAGATCTCATAGACTCTTTGCCCAGGCTGGCTTCAAACCATATCCTCCTGATTTCTGCCTCCAGAGCAGCTAGGATAGTTGGCGTGAGCCACTGACACCCAGCTTGTTTTAAACTTTGATAGCATGAGAAATGTATAAAGCAATTTAGCATTACATGTTAGTTCAATGATATTGGTTGTCATGGAAATGACTTTGCTGTGGTATATTTTGCGTGTGTTGTTTCACCTTGAAATTTTAGGCTGAATTCAGTAAGAAAAATTATCTGGTCTGTAGCAAAAACTAATTTCCAAAGTCATTCAGTGTCTAGCAATGGTGCTTAAGGACAGTTCTCATCTGGAAAAAAAAAACTCATTCTTTATCTGAACTAAAAAAAAATTACAGTAAATGTTTAAGACTCTCATTTGCTGAATAAGGCATGTTAGGACATTTACCTTCTTCTGCTGACAAAAGTTCCTGGGTCTGATTACGGTTCAGTTAAAAAAAGTGATGATGTTTATTGGTGTAGAACTGGTTCAGTAACAGAACACATTCAAATGTTTTCTGCAAAGTTCTTGCCGAGGTATAAAACAATAAATATAGGCCTTAGGCACCTTAAACTCTATAAGCCTCTTAAATTTGTCCAACTGAATACTTTAGCATTTATTTGCCACCATAAATTATAAAATGTCTTAGCAGATTTCACTTTAGTTGATGCTAAGTTAGTATTTTCTCAACTTTTACAATATTCTTACTTATTCTGCTCAATTTATATACTGAAGTTAACTTTTCAGTTACTTCAGATCCAGCATTGACACTTAGAACAACTAACTAGTATTGGTAACATCTCTCAATTCATTAGGAGCCAGGGAAGAGCACCCTAAATCATTTTTGCTTGAAAAAAATAGGTTGATTTTTTTCATAGTGCTCTAAGCTATTTGGACAATTGTTCTTGCAGAAAGACTAACAGTCCTAAAGAAATTTATTTTACCTTGACCCATTTCTACTACAGCAAACAATGTTTGGTAAGTGCTTAATCTGACAATATCAGCACACGAAATGCAGCCTTTTAGCATGGTTCTTCTGATACTGAATAATGAACACAATTCTTTGTGATTTACTTTAGTAACTGCTTAAAATGCAATATGTGCTTTTCTTTCCTGTTTTTATATGATGGGTACGTGTTGGCAACAAAAAGTAAAGTTGTAAAATGGGGATATTTGTGTTACTTAAAGCTATGTTACTGTGGTTTGTGCGTTGAACACTAGCGTAAGGTAATGAAAATACCACTTCTGGTCTCTGTTGCAGGCTGTCAACTCTGGTGCTATCCACAAGGCACCCTTGGACAATGCATAAACTAATGGGCACTGCTGTCACAATAAAATTTCAATTGTGGATATATGAGTTTTATATAGTTCAATCTTGTCATTCTTCGTCAAGAAGGCAAAACTATACTCCAAATGCATGGAAATATTTGGGTTAGGTTGAATATCAAGAATCTTGCTACCAGTTAGTTTAACAGATTTAGAATGTAAGACTATGTCTTTACAAGATGTTGGGTCCACTCGGTTATTTTTAAGAAAACAAATTGAGGTTATAAAGTATTAAAGTGTTAAATGACTAACAATTCATGAAGACAGTGAGAACAGAGATAGAAATCTCAATTTAAAATTTTTTCTGTAGTATATTTCCCTGTGTACAGCATGAGTTTTTATATGTATAGTAATGAAAATATACTTTTTTGTTGTACAGTATATCCCTTTTTGCTGAAGTATATGCATAAAAACGTGTATAACACAGTGCATAGATTAGATGGCAACAATAAGGCATTCACCAATGTGCCTACTATCAAGCTTAGAAAAGAGAAAACTGCATACCTGATTTTTAATACCTAAATATAAATCCTTCAATATTTCACAACTTTTTGGGAAATGTTCACTGTAATTACCTTTTTTGTTTTTTAAAGATAGATTCCCCTTCTTAGGTTAAGGAAGTTTCTTTAATTTTTAGTTTCCTCAAAGATTCTCTAGCACTCCTCTTTTCAGTCCTCTGGACTAACTTTGTAACTCTGCTCTGTTGCCCACTCACTTCCTTTAACTGTGCCTGTGTATGCTGTCAAGTGATAGAACAGAAACAGGAAACAAAGAGGTCTTCTTGACCCATCCTCTTGGGACCACCACTCTTCTGACTGCAGAGAATGATTCCCTTTCGTTGTGTTTTAGGAACTTCTGAGCCTGGGTTTGCCAATGTCATTTATACTAGTGCTGTGTGACGTGTGGGTCTTACAGCAAGCAAGAACAGAAAAAAAATTGGAGTCAGTGGGGGAGTTTCTGAATACTTTCTCTGGGTTTGGGGAAATTCTCCTTCTTGAGACAGAACACAAGGGCCTCTGAACCTTCTGTGTTGCTTCTGGATGATCCACTTTCATGTTTTGGCTGACTTGCGTCCATGTTGGATGATATTTTGGAACAAAATGGAGAAACTCACATTCTGGTCTTTTTCTAATACAATGATAGCATTTATTCTTCAGTCCATGTGTCCTGACCAAGTTGTATGACTGCATTCAGGGGGAGAGACAGGTTGTAGTGTGTTCCCTCTTTCTTACCTAGACTTAAAACCAGCAGGTAGAACTTCCTGTCTTCCAGTTCAATGTAAAGTGAAGGTCTAGATAGGTAAACATATTTACTCTCTTTTGTACCATCCTTTTTGTCTCGTAGACTTTTCTAAGGTATTTGCCTTCCTTTCAGAGATCTTTCTTTTTTGTGGAATATTCACAGACTCTAGAATCATCCCCTGCCCTTTGCATTCAGGAGGCTTTGAAACTCCAGTTCAGGGAAAATACCTGCTTCAGGGTTCTACATAGCTATCTGGAATAAATTTTTCTTAGGATATCCCCTGTTTTAGAACTCATGGATGAGAAAAGGCAGGTTGTTTTAATATGTTATATGGCACTGTAAGTGTTCCCTATAAGAGATTTTTAAAAATACACCAATAGCTTATTACACTCACTACAAGTAGAAGTTTTGATGGATTGTTTGAAAAACTAAAATTGATTCCTGGTTTTGGTGTTTAGTAGATGCTGTTCCAAGCAGCTACTCCAGTATTAACCGCCAACCATATTACTGTAATGAGTTCATGACTCAGCAACTCTGTCTTTATCTCTAACATTTCTGTTTATTTTTCTTTCCCTCTCTGGAATATTTTTCTCAGATCTCTACTAAATATTTAAGACAAAGAGAAGTCAAACTAACTTGATTTAGGGTATCCATTTGATACATGGATATATACCTATTAGATTATAGTTCATCCCCAGTGTTTAATTACTTTCAAACAGAATGCACTCAAGTAATCTATTTGCTGCAGTGTATCAGTATTGTAGTAA